TAAAATTCATCTTATCTTATTATGTACGTCCTATTGGACAACACATTTGTGAAACTGTCTATTCTACATGTTCTAGGACTTACGACAGGGGAAATTTCCTGTGTGTTTGAAGCCAAGTTGTTTTGGTTGGCAGCAACGTTGAATCAGTTTGCCATGGAGTTCAGAAAACAGCTATCTTAAAGAAGCATCACTCTACATTAAACATTAAACAGAATTACGCTAATTCTGTTTAGCAATGGGGCGAGGAGGGGGTGACAAAAAAAAAACTCACCTTAACCAAACAGACATGAAAAGCATGAATTATTCTGTGTAGCCTTGTGCCAAATATTTAACTTAATTTGACTGCAGTAAAATGGACTTTCAAGTGGTTTGTGTTGTTTTTTACTTTTTCATTTTACTTTTTCATTTCATGCACCCCTGGTTGTAGAATAACCCGCTGTAAGCCTATATAAACATTAAAATAACTTTACGTTGTATGCAGAGTGGAGTTAAATCAGTGAGTAAACATTTCTAAGGACACTTAAGCCCCTCTCTTCGTCACACTGTGACTAGACGATTGTTTAGTTGGCCACTGACTGACTTAAACTGGTTCTTTTAAAACAAAGATCATTGTTAACATGTTTAACTTCCTGGAGACTGGTGATGTCATTCGACGTGTTTCAATGATGACGCAGCAAAACGAACTATGGCAAACTATTTAGATCAGCACTGGATAAATATGAGCAAACTTTACACAAGACAGAAAATATCATCTTTGATACATTTATTTCTCTGCATAGATGTTGCTGTGAATTTCTTTAAATATGGTATGAATAGTAACTGACATTTAAGCATGAACTAATCTCATTTTAGTCTCCAGTGATCAATGTCATTGTGATTTCATATCAGTTTGATTCTAAATATTTCAAGGAGAGATGTTCTGCAACTCCAAATGCACAAATACACATAGATTAATCAGGGTCACATCTCCAGTACAGTTAAATTGCAAAATTCAAATGAGTAAAGTCCATAGTTTGCCCCGGAATAATCTTTTTGGGTGCTGTCATTTTTTATTCGAGTCCATGACAACGATCGATGCAATGGTCAGGTGCTGGGTGAATTAAACTCATATGGGCTTGGTAAAAGAATATAATCCATGTCCTAACAATGATCACAGCCACCTTTGTGTATTGTGTCACGAACATTAAAAATTTTCCTGTTTCACAAGTGAAACTCCCCAGACAACAAAGACAGCAGTAAAGCAGGCTGGTCCAGTGGTAAAACACATATATAAACTCACAGGCTGTGTTTGCAAACATAAACAGAGGGAAATTTCTCCGGGTTAACTGTCCATCGGGTAGATCACAGTGGTAAGGAAGATTTTCTCCACTATTTTGATTATCACTTAGTGCTTGTTATATTCGCAAAAACAAAAATTACATCCTGGTCCATCACTTACTCTGTTAATGGTTTTTAAAAAAAAATTTAACACTGACTTCATTGTAGAGTTAGAAAAAAAATGAATGAGGAGAAATTGTTTGACAATAAACTGTGTTGACTCCATCTGCTTTAAAGTCAGGGAGTGTGTGCTCGTTTGAAAACCTTATTTTAAACCAACAGATCCAAACAATCAAAATTAGTTTTAATAAATCTTAAAAGTTCTGCAATTACATTGTGGAAAACCGAATACAGATTAATAACAAAATCTTGCAACTTTCATTTATTTGTATGTATCCTTTAACTTATTTTTGACATTTTGTAGAAATGTGAATGAGTGTCATCAAACAAGAAAAAAGCCATGAATCCATATAGATTTTTAGCAATTTGAGAAATTGGGGTACATATACAAATTTTAACAAATATATTTTAAGGGTTTTTTTTTCCATGTTTTCCCACAGAAAGTGCTGACATGAAACTCGGGTTGCTTGTTGTGGTGGCTGTGGCAGTTCTGCTGCCCAGCTTTTCTGAGAGCCGGATCGTCTCCAAATGCGAGCTCAAAGACAAGCTTGGGAAAGTGATACGTCTGCCCAGGACACTCTTGGCTATAAGTAAGTCCAATGACTTAAATCCATGACAAAAGTCTGTACCTTAGTTGTAGACTAGAATACCACTGAGGTATTTAAGCCTAATGCTGTTTTTTGATTCTTCTGTATTAGAAGAAAATATTAACTTTTATAAATCTGATAGCTTCAGTTACTGTTTAAATTCAAAGGCAGCATTAAGAGCACAGAGAGAGAGAGAGCCTAGACCAGTTTGTCTATTCATTTATAAATAAATCTGACATCCAATGAATTATATTTCATGTGGTCCCCATGACTGAAAAAAGTAACCACTAAAGTAAAACTAAAAGCACATACATTTAGAAGGTTGAAAGAAAACAGCAACTCTTACTGGCTATCACCTTTATAATTGCATTTTTTTTCTCCTTTGTTTGCTTTTACTTCTTTGCATGTGTGACTTGTTTGCCACAGTTGTCTGTGAAGTGGACAGGATCTCTCATCTGAACACCAGCTTGGTCAATGTGCTTGGCAAGCGCACAACTACCACACTAAAGCCAACAACCCCCTCCACAACAGCAGTCACCTTAACGACCACTGGAGCGACGACACTTACAAGCACCAACTCTACTACAACTGCTATTACTACTACTACTACTGTCATGACTACTAACTCCACCATCAGCTCAGTGAACACAACCCTTGTGTCAAACAGCACAAGTGGCATGAACAGAAGAAAGCGACATGCTCACTCGAGCAGTGAGGAGGAGATCGGGCAAATTGGCGGAGGAGAGGAAGACAGCAGTGAGGAGGAAAACTTGAAGCCTTCGTCCCTCGGCCTTTACGGGCTCTTCCAGCTGCCTGACAACATTTTCTGTAATTCGGGGCTTCGTCCATCCAGAAATGTTTGCCGCACCTCCTGCAACTGTGAGTTCTTGCACCCACAGCGGGTTAATTTATTATGTTTTGCTTTTTTGTTTTTTTATTTTGCATATTAAAAATTGTTTCTTTTTTCCTCGCAGCCTTCACTGACAATAACATAACTGACGATATTGCTTGTTTCATCAACACTGGTTACTGGAGGTAAGTTTCTGGACAGCATAATACATATAGGTCAAATAAATAATCAAACCTTTGAATAAATATCACATGCCTGTGATGAATTATTTGACTAATTTATTTGCAGTATATATACTGTACAACAATTGACAAATTAAAGAAAAATCCGATATAAACTGATCTAGCAAGCTGTGACATTAATACAGCTTCAGCACTCCCTTGCATGTCTCTGGAACTTTAATGTAAGGACTGAACACCATTGTTAAGAAATCACTGTCTGAGATGCTGGTTAGGATTTCTGAAGGGGATCCACCTCATATATAGATGCAATAATCAAACATTACAAATGTGTACAGCTTAGCTCACTCAGTAAAGCATGTGATCAATATGCCATAAGGTTAATGCTGAGGCCTGGGTTTGAATCTGTCCCCAAAATCAGTCATTGCATATCTTCCAACAACTGTCAAAAAAGTGCATTCTTTATATTAAAAAGAAGCAGATACACAAAACGCTTAAGTGAAGGCACTGAATATAACACAAATATGTTAATGTAAAGAGAAATACAACATATGGTGTTGCCTAATAATTACCTTTTGTTTTAATCCAACAGGAACATTGTGAGGAGAGCCTCTCACTCATGTCGTCACAACATGAATTTCTTAAGAGAATGTAAATAAGTGGATGTGGAATCACAGTTTTTCCCTGCAGAATCACAAAAAATTCTTCACAGTTTCCATCTCCAGTGATCTGTGATTAAGGAACCGCATGCTCCATTATCTACTTTACCTTATGAAGCACTATTTTCTTTCTTTGGTGGAGGAATCTTTCAATAAACATTACTTTGCAGCATATATACAGTGGTGTGAAACGTGTTTGCTTCCTTCCTATTTTCTGTTTTTTGTATGTTTGTCACACTTAAATGTTTCAGATCATCAAACAAATTTTACTATTAGACAAACTAAACACAAAATTAATGTTTTTTTAATGAAGATGTTTATTATTAAGGGGAAAAAAAATCCAAACCTAAATGGCCTTCTGTGAAAAAGTGATTGCCCCCTAAACCTAATAATTGGTTGGGCCACCCTTAGGAGCAACAATTACAATCAACCAATCAAGTTTAAGAGGTTAATATTGTTTTTCTGAAGTCACGCAGAAGTCGACTTGCTGGTGTGTTTTGGATCATTGTAGTGCTACAGAACCCAAATGTGCTTCAGCTTGAAGTCACAAACAGATAGTCAGACATTCTCCATCAGATTTTTTTTGGCAGACAGCAGAATTCATGGTTCCATTTGCTACAGCAAGTATTCTAGGTCTCTGACATAGAGGCCAGGGATGCAGAAGAACATCATATCAAAAAGTGCTAATCCCTGCTGGACATTTTTCAAAGCTGGGAGGGTGCTTATAGAATGCTACAGGTGATCCAGGAAAGAAGGACAACCAATAAGACTGAATAAGCAAAAACTCTGGTGATTCTTTATGTGTCAAGATTATTGGAGCAGCTGAGCTGTGTTACTTTCACTACCTAATATCTATGGGGCTTTGAAACCCCAAAACACATTACTCTAAAAATTGGTCCAACTAAGAATCTGGTCCCTTGGCACAAGCAGAGCAATACAGAGTACACTATGCTGCAAAAATTGTGGGGGAAACAAAGAAATGTCACTGTATACAGTCAGTTCTAGTGACAAGTATATCTAATGTTGACACTCACAGCAGCTTTTGTGTTATTTCCTCATTTTGCATCAGTTTTTAGCCTCACATTTGACTGACTTCTCTTTTTTTTGGAACTCATGAATATGCCAATTTATATATGAATATGTTAATATATCAGTTTTATTCAAAGACAGCAAGATGGTGTAATTATTTTATGTATAGTTGGGTTTCTTTTGTTTGTTACTTTTAGTGTGTAAGAATATTCAACACTGTTATCAATACATTTGTCACAAAATGTCTCTCTGTGAAAAATGGGTTTAAAAACATGAACAACTGTGGGATACTGTTTGCTTTTGTGTGCGAGCCCTGTCAAACACCTGTCCATTATGCTAGCAGTGTACAAGCGTTCATTTGTTGTTTTTATTCATGCCTTATACCTCAAATATGAGGTCTCATATTTTCAAATATGAAGTCTCTCAAATTGAAGAAACTATTAGCTTAAGCAACAGAGTGATAATATCTGAAAAAAAAGATCAGTTAATGTCCCATGTGGCCATAATATGTGAAAGCTGCAATTTCATAATTTTTAAAGAAAGTCCACATCCTCTGTTAGCCCCTGCAAATGTAGTCTTAGAAGAAAGCCCATGATGTCCCTTTGACAGTACAGCAGCAGTCACATAGATTGCATAAACGGTGCTCAGTATGGAGGCCTCAGGCTCATGTCCCGACAAAGAACAAAAATTAATTGCTGGATCTTCCAGATTGAATCTCCATTATGAGACTACATCCACAGATAAAGACAAAACCTTGACTGATGAAGCGTGGCGAGGGAAATATGTACCTAACCAAAGTCTACTTGCACATGAATTGACAACCCGATTAACGCTTTCATGAGAAAGTTGCAGTTTCGTTCAGCTTCATCCTTATTCAGATGCTAAAAGTGAAGATCTTGGTTAGGATCAATCTTCATTTGTAAATAAACGTTCTCAGTGATGATACGGATACAGATCCTCTCTCAGTGACGATCACCTGTCCATCAACCTTTTCATTTCCACCTCAGATACTGAACTTGACTTTAAAGCCCCAAAAAGATGACACAAGAAAACAGAGCTGAAAAACTGAAGATGAAGTAATCAATATACAAGCAAACTACTAGGCTGCAAGCATAAAAAGAAAATGGATGAAGTGCTATTGCAGCTGTTTCAGACTGAAACAGTCCTGCCATGGTCATCCTGCATCACAGCATCAGTCTGTAGTTATCACTGCAGGTGATGATCCTACAGCCTCCTCCTGACGAAAGCTTAGGGGCAAAAAGAATAAAAATTAATATTATATTATGATAGCTAAATCAAATTATTATAGCTTGACACTCTCCAGAGTGAATCAAAAGTTGTAACTTCTCCATCTGTGGCTGTAGTTCAGGAGGTAGCATAGGTCATCTACTAATCGGAAGTTTGTGGTTGCAGACTGGCTGCTCCAGGCTGCATGTAGACTTGGGCAAGATACTAACCCTGAGGTGCTCTCCGATACATTCATCAGGATGTGAATATAAGATAGAAAGCACCTGTGCAAAAAAAGTTTATAAAAATCTCTTTGTATAAATGGATGAATGAGGCCAGCTGTATAAAGCTCTTGGAGTGCTCAGAGTGCAAAAGTGCTGGATGAAAACCAGTCATTTTACCATCTTCTTTGTCTAATCCTCTTGAGTAATGTGGTCTGTGTGTGGATCCTTTTGGAGCAGCCACAGTTGCTGCAGGTGTCCTGAATTGATTGGTGGGTTTTCTCTTCTGCTGAGAGCCTTCTGCTGATAACATGTGAGAGAAGAGCAGGTGTGAGCAAACAGAATCCATAAATCATGACAATAGTTTGATTTCTGCTGTGATAATGACATTTAGATGATTACATTGTCTGTCATTAACAGTGGGTGTAGCAGGAACTACACTGGAGAATGTCACACCCGACTGGGTCACTGAAAGCTGTAATGCTCAGAGAGTGTTCTGCTCAGCTCTTTCATCCATGTATTAATATAATCACTGATGTTGTATTTCATAGACACAAACTCAACAGAAGCAGCTCAGCCTGTCTCAGGCAGTGTTGAAGTTCACCTTTATCACAGACACAGCATCATCTCCATCA